GGATGCAACCCTGTGGACCAGCGACGAAAAAGCCATGTACCAAGCTTTCCATCACGGAAATTCGTAATCGATGTGCTGACCGATGGATATTTATCGACTAAGTAATAATCTTGCCCAGCATCTGTAGTGTCGTGGGGGAATGATTTTTTTCACGTAAAATCTTTACCGAACCTAAACTGCTTGCTAACTGAAAGGTGGTGATGGCGGAGATCATCTGCGATTGCGGCGACACCAAATACTGATAACATAACATAACATATGTATATTTTTAATGTTCATGCAATATATTCTGAGTTATCCACTTTATTCTGGCGCGCGAATTAATAGGATACAATTTTAAACATGTTTTTGAATGCCGCGAATTAAAAGGATACATTTAAAAATTAGCGTTCGAAAATAAAATGGGTGCGCGAACTAATAGAGACCGCGAATTAATCGAGTTTTTACGGTATGTCCCATTGGGGGTAAACACAGAATTACAAACAGATTTAAGTAACCATTCTGATAAAAAATAAAACTTACCTTTTGTACCCACATAGGAAGACCCCATTCTGTACACATTAACCGATGACTTACTAGTCTACCCTGTTTATCTACATGTCTATCAATAACATCAAGTCCAACTACAGTTGGATTATGAGGATTGGGATATTTTCTCCATGCTGCCTGCACCACAGTTTCCCAAGGATGTCTGTAATATAGAAAATACACAACATTAACATTTGTAGAACATGCGACAACAAGTTATCACTGATCATAGAGAGCCATGTAGTATATAAATGTCAGAATAAAATTGTAATAGTGAAAATAATGGAATACGTTTTATACAATATACAAATTCATTCATATACAAATATGGCATATTATTTTTATAAATTATTACAGTTGTGGTGGTTTTCATTTCAAAATAATGCCATCTTCCATGGCCATCCAAATTTGCTCACTAATGTACTAGTAGCATTTCTAAGAAAGAATAAATGATGCAACACTATACAACTATTGCATGGTTACTAAACATATTTATTGCTGCTCATGTCGTGTATTAACAAAAATGACAGATGTGTCCTACATTGATGGAACACAACATCATAACTGGAAATCAAAGGATTATATTTAATTTACAACAAGCATTCCATAAATGGGCAAAACTCCTGTTTTATATTTTATGTCATGTGACATCCGCGACCAGTGACGTCATCCATTGATGGAATTCCCACGTCAAACAGAGTAGCACCATGGATGTACATCCATGGTAGCACAATTACGTACGTGTTAATACTATCAGCATTTTAAAATGAAACTTGAAATAAAACATGTTCTCGCTAATAATATACAATATTTCGTCAATCGTAGTTTGTAAAAAGGTAGGCGACGGTATTTTTTATAGTATTACGAATTTCGGTGGTCTGAGTATGAATACAACAGCCGGCACGTCGCTCGAACCCGTTACTGTAATACTTACATTTATAAAGTATTTTCTATTAGGTAAAATAGATCATCTATTGAATATCATGGTATTATCAAATTCGGACCTTTATCGCAGCAACATACAATTCGATGACATGCGGTCTGGAAACACCGTGAACGACACGTATATGTCGTGTAAAAAGATTGCCAGTGGAATACATAACAGGGTCTCTAACGATTGGATTATATCATCTAGTTGATAAAGAACCCGGCATGATATTTCACGTGGTGTGTGTTACTGTGTGTTACGTGACAGTCACAACCGGTACCGTAACGGGAGTGTACGCTGTCCGCGATTGAACTTTGAAGTGTAGCGCCAACGACACGAAACAACGACCGGCGTTTTGGATTTTCATCGCAACGACGGCAAAAGAACAAATTCTGGCAGTGCCCAATCTAGCTAGGACATATTTTGAAGCGTATTAAAAAAAACACTCACTCAAAGACGTGTTCTGATGTCCAAATCTTCATTTCAAGAGAAAATTGCGCAGCACTCCTACCACCACAGAGACACACGTACCACAGAGAACGAAGTGACCTTGGTAGCGTGATTTCTAGGACGCTTGCGAGATCGAAGCTGATGACGAAAGCAAACGTATAACTACTAAAATCAAAATATTCATCCGAGATCGACGATAAAACCCTTACATATGTCTGTTTCTGTGAAGTTGATAGCACATTTTTAAGAAGTTATCTGAAAGCAAAATACATCTATGTTTGCTTTCGGACAAATTTTCGTTGGCAAACTTACATATAATATCGGTTCGTAGATAAATGTAACGCATGAGTCTACTTCTTGAAAAAATAGTTCACATAACATCGACAAGGTTCGGAAAACTTCGGCATTGGCTATCCGAATTATCTTAGAAACAATCACTGTCATTGGTTGATTTCTGACTAAGTTAGACGTTGGGCTGTATTCATCCAATCAATGAACACTTTGTATAAGGCTCCCCGACAGCTAATCACTGATTCCATGACAACACCGAAGCTATATTTTCAAAAACAAGATGGCGACAGGGTTGTGGTTAGATTGGTGTAAATTTTAACATTTAGCTGAATTTGGCGTAATATATCATTTTAAGAGCGACGCTTTGCACTAAAGGTAAGTGAAGTGTGCTGGTTAATATCTGAACAGGTATGTTAAGTTTATGTTTGAAGCGAGCTGTCACATGCACTGAATGTTTGGACCGATGGCGAGGTAAGCTGCAGCAGCACTGTCGTGGGACACATACCCCTGACTACGGTCGTCATGTTGATGGTTCCAGAATGATGGAAGGTGAAATAATACAATAATAAGCAAACCCATTCCCCATTTTAGTCAGGAATCAGAGCTAATGTTTGCGTGTTATAACACAGATTGTCGTGTTAGTTTAAAATCAAGAAAATTATTTGAATTTATTAGTACTGAATCTTTTAACGAATATAGTATGAATCTCAGTATTTACTAGTAAGTCATTAAATAACTAACTACATAATAGACTATTGGGCTGCCTGTTCACAATTAATAATAATAATAACAACATTATTGATCAAAATCTTTTAGTTAATAGCGTCATATAGCCTTATGAATCCCCCTTGTCTGCTCCAAGATTAAATTTCACTCCTAGATCATTCCTCAAGGTTTTTGATCGTATTGAGATTATTGTGTGACAAATTGTGAGAAATATTTGAGGGTTTGGCTGGTTTTGCCATTGATCCAAATTACTGCAGACATAGTAAATTAATTCCGAACAGAGAAGAATGTTTGTGAATCAAAACACATCAGAATAGCATTCAAAAGCATTAGCAGATAAATTAAAGCTAAACGATCGTCACTTCCAGAAATT